GAGGAAGACCCTCGAGGAAGTACATTGACACAGGTGCTGTGACAATGGGCATGGGCACAGCAGAGATTGTGAGCACGGCATAGGATCGAACTTGGCTTTGTTGTGTTGTACATAGGCGCTAACTCCATGGTACCTAACAACAACAACAGCAATGGACCTAGGAGTGAATCTCATTCTAACACACTGACTGTGTTACTTTGGGCAAATTACTCAACCCCTCTCAGCCTCAGTTTCCAACTTTATAGATTGAGACTTATAATACCTACTTGACCTTGCAAATTATTTCATTTTACTATAATCAACACCCACAGTAGCAGCAGTGAAGAAATCATAAGAACTATTATTGTATTGAACAAATCTGCAGAAACCTCTTTAAAATGTTAAAGAGCATGGATGTAAGTTTAACCACTAAGGTATGCCTGGCCCAAAATATGATGTTTTAAATTGTTTCATTATGTATGTGTAAGTTGGACAATGAATAAGGAAAACCAAGGAAGAACTGGTGCATTTGAACTTTGCTGTTAGCAAAAGGCACTGAATATACCATGGGCTGCCAAAAGGATAAAGAAAATCTATCTTGGAAAAAAAGTATGGCCAGGGTGCTCCTTGGAGGCAATAAGGGTGAGATTTTGTCTTTTATACTTTGGGCATGTTGTCCGGGGAGCCAGTCCTTGGAAAAGGACCTCATACTGGGAAAAGCAAAGGATGAGTGAAGGAATGGAAGACCCTCAACTAGATGAATGACAGCAGCTGAGACCTGGCAAAGATTGGGAGGCTGGTGCAGGATTGAGCACGATTCAAGCTATTGTACGTGGGGTTGCTGTGAATGAGTTGACTCGATGGCACCCAGCAACAAAAACAAGATCCATGCTGGAGGTTTTGTAGTGTCCTTAGCAGGTGGAGGGAAGTCAGGAAGGGATCAGATGGAGTAAAATAGATAACGCCATACGATGAGAAGGAGCTTTAGTGTCTTCCATCGATTTAGAACTCTTCCATCTTTTTCCTGAAAGCCAAGAACTCTGGAGAAGTTTCAGCCTTGGGCATGCATTTGACACTCATTCCAGACCCCAGGATCTCCCACGCTTCTTGCTGGCTGTGTCATTGGCCCGAGGTGGAAGGAGGAGAGGTCTATACATGGCCCAGGGGCTGCCCACTCATCATAGGAATCGAAGGGACCCCTCATATCACAGCACCCAGGTGGGAACACCCTCTGTCTTAGTCGATGGTACCTGAGGTCAAGCCCGAGTCCTTCAAGGATGGGGAGGCATTGCTACCACATCTGTCAGGTAGGCCTTGGGGCTGTTTCCTGCATGTGATTTTCTGCATCCAGCAGAGTGGACTTCAGGAGCAGCACAGTCTGAGTTCTGAAGGCTACTGAATCTATGTTTTTGGATACTTTCAGTCTTATGGGGTGAGGACGGGGTGCCACCTGCACAGCGAGACTCAGAGATTTCAGAACACCTCAGGCCACTGTAGGCAAGGTCACATTGTGGTCCCCATCCCTGGCTAGAAGTATGGGAGTCAAGAAGGTCCCTAGTAAGGTGAAGCCTTGAAGAGGGTAAGGAATACAGCCAGGGTCACATGTTTGCATAAGCACCAAATCTAGACCCCGAACCTGAAGAAGGTTTGTGTGGACACAGAGAAGGGGTTTCGGGAGGTGTGATGGCAAGTGCCTTGCTGAAGGAAGCAAATGTGGCAGTGCCCCTGGGGATGCCTGGAGCAGTCAGTGGCTCTGCTCGAGCCAAGCCAGGACTGCCTCCTTGCCTTGTCCGTGTGCCTTGCCCACCAGCTACAGCTGGAAGCGCTGTCACAGATGCTGCAAATGTTCCTAAGCACCTTCTGCATGCCAGGTGCCCTTGGGTGTCTACACATGAAAGCATGGCTTGGGCATCATCTGGTTTGCCCTCTTCCTTCCCTGTGTTTTCCCGAGGGGATGCCTGCGAGGCAGGCTCCAGCTGCACAGCTGGCTGGAGGAGCTCTGAGGCCTGGCCAGGCCCTGTGCAGTCCCCGTCTCGCTCGCTCACCTTTCCCCTCCATGGCTGAAGCTCCTCTGCGCCTTGGGAAGGAAACAGCTTGCAGCCACACCCACCCTTCACTGAGCCCAGCCATCAGGCTTTATGGCCCCCAGGCCTGGCTGCCTGCCCAGGCTATGATCCAGTGCCTCAGTTTCCCAGTGTGTGACAGAAAATAGAGAGTCATCGGCTGACCACTCTGTGACCTTCTGGCTCTAAGGTGGTGTTTAATGTTGAACTGGGGTAAGAACAGCTGTAGGAAGCAGTCTGGGGTGTTGGAGGTGGGGGGCTCTGGCTTCCCTTCTATGTGTCCTTAGAACTGGTGGTACTGGGGACAGTTGTCCCCTCATAACTCGGTGCTGCAGGAAAGGCAGGGCTCTGCAGTCTCTGGAGGACCTGTCTGTGGGCAGGGACTGTGGCCACATAAGGGGGCAGAGGCTTCTGGGGCGTAATTAGTGCATTTCTGGCACCCACCAAACTTCCCCTTCCTCCTGACAATTTGCTGCCAAAACCATCCTGATCCTGTGGACTTGCTTAAAGCTTATCCAGAATGAAAAAAAAAAAAAATACAAGGAGATAGAGAAACATTGTTATTTGTGAAATTGCATTTCCCAGCCATGATCATGAGTCACACACACCATTTGGAGCCTCAAGTGTTTTGTTTGCATGAACTTCTCTGGGAGGCTGGAAGGCTACTGCCCTCCACTGGGCCAATTTCAGGGCAATGTCTGTTTTGGCAAGATCCTAAAAACACGGTATGGGGAGGCTTGGTGATCTGGGCAATGCGGGCTCCCAGGTCTGCCTGGGCCTGGGCTGGCTGCACCTGACCTGCTGAGGAGACTTCAAATGCAGATTCTCAGGCTCAGAGATGGGCCTAGAAAATGTGTTAAAAATTTAGTGCAAATTTGGTTATTTAGTGCAAATTTGGACACACTTATGGAATCTGTGTGGGAGTTCTGGTGACATGTTGCTTCTGCTAAACAAAAGGTGTCAAGACTCCAGTGGTTTGAACCCACCAGCGGATCTGAGGAAGAAAGATGCAGAGTTTCTTCTTAAGATTTGCAAATCTTCGGCAGCCCACTGGAGGGGGTTATGAGAGTCTGAATTGAATTAAAGGCAGCAAGTTGAGGATTTTGGTGTAGAGCCTGAGATAATGGCGCAGAAGGTTATGGTGAGAACCCACTTGGACGCAGGACGTTTCCAGTACCTGAAACATGGTACACTCTCCTGAAGTGTCAGGATCTGATCTGGTCTCTATCTGAACCTCTGCCGGCCTGTAAAGACCCCCATTATTGGCTTGTACCAAGGATAGGGCCCTCTTTGGATGGATCTCTTTCTCTTGGGTTCAGCTTAGAACTGGAGACTGACTGTAGGTTTATGTGGTCTCTTCCACTGACCCTGTATCTAAAGGGACACCATCACCATAAAAAGGGCTGTACAGTGGGACAGCAGAGATGGGCTTTGGGAACTGCCGAGTTCCATCTGCTAGGCACCACAAGCCGCATCTTTCTAGGACCTGGACAGAATGTCTATCTTTCCTTTCAGATCCTAAGCTCTAGAGCAAACCTCCCCCTGAACACAGGAGGGAACAGAGGCTCAGAGAGGGAAAAGGCTGGCCCAGGGTTACACAGTCAGATGTTTGGAGTGCAAAGACAGTAACAGCATTGATGCTGAAGGCCAGCCATGCCAGACTGTAGGAGACAATGGCGGACCCCACCCAGGGACCCCACAGCACAGAGGCTGGGGTAGCTTAGGCTCTATCCTCGGGGATGTCTGATGCCCCAGGACAGTCTGCCTCCTTCCCTACTTTTCCTCCCACAGTGAGGGGACATAGCCTGGACTCCTATCTGTCCATCATCTCTTTTAAGGGATTCTGAGACCATGTCTCTTTTTAGAGAGGAGGGGCCCTGATTCCATGTCAGCTTGGGAATTTCCAGAATAAGGCTAGAAGACCCAAAGCCCCCCAGATGTGTGGCTCACTCCTAAAGTTCTTGGACCCCTGGGCTGGGTTAGGGGATGACCCCTAGAGGAAGCTGCCTCTTTCCAGCCTTGGCCCCTGCAGCCGCACCACAGGCCCTCTCCGTCCCCACCCCCCCCCCACCCCCGGATTCCAGTGTGCTGGGCTCCTCCTATAAATAGAGGCTGTGTACCCCAGGAGGAGGCCTGGGTCTTGTCTGCTTTGAGGCAAGGCGAGACGTTTGGTTCCTGTCATCTGGAGGTAGGAGAGGAGGGAGGGGTGGTCTGTGTCCCTCAGTAGGTGCCCAGAAAGTTGTCTAGACTGAACGAGGGTGCAAGATTTTCTCTGCAAGAATAGAAACAGTGCTGCAGGCACCATTCCTTTTTCTGAGAAGGAGAAATTGAGTCAGATCAGAGACCAGTGACTCACATAACATCACACCATCATCAAGTGGCACAGCCCCAGGTTTGGGTTGCTTTGTATTAAGCCTTTCTACCTCATGGTAGCCTAGTGGTAAGAAACTGTGCTGCAGTCCCCAAAAGTTCAAATCCTCCAGCTGCTCCTAGAGTGAAAAATGGGCAGTCTCCTCCTTTGGGATTTACGGCCTCTGAAAACCTGCTGGAGGGTCAGCTAAGGGTCAGTTCTGCCTCAACGGTACACATACAACACCCTTGTGACGATGCGCAAAGAACTAAAGATAATTATATTAAGTGTTTATCACGAAGTATGAGGTTAAATGCTTTCCAGCCCATGGCCTTATTGGAACCTCCTGTGAAGGAGCACTGAGGGTAACTGTGGTTCTGTTCCACTGATTAGCTACCACCCCTATAGCCTTTGGGTACAGACTTGGAGATGAGATTTTTATGTAGGTCCTCAGAGGCAGAGCCCATTGGCAATTGAAGCCTCAATAGATTGTGTGTGTTTATTTGGACCCGTGTGGGTGGTGGGTGTGGACCTACAGGTCGTGTGTGTGTGTGTGTGTGTGAATGCTCAGCCTCCAGCCCCCTCACAGCCTCTGTCTGTCCCTCCAGGCACTGAACAGCGGTGTGTACAAGAGTGCCTCGCCCTACGGCTCCCTCAACAACATCGCTGACGGCCTCAGCTCTCTCACCGAGCACTTCTCTGATCTGACCCTCACCTCTGAGGCCCGCAAACCCAGCAAGCGGCCCCCACCCAACTACCTGTGCCACCTCTGCTTCAACAAAGGGCATTACATCAAGGACTGCCCACAGGTAAGGCAGCCCCAGCTGGCTAGCACTCTTGGGTTCACTTATGACCCTTGAACCTGATTCTGTGGAGAGGGCAGGCAGAGTGCCCTCCCCCAGAGCTCCTCAAGTGAGTGGGCCCATGGCTTTGTGGTCTCCACCTTATAATCCCTCTGGTATTTCTGGGCAAGGCTGACTGGTATGGACAGGGCAGAGGCCCAGTCTGAGGGCATGCTGGCAAGCCAGTGGTCTGACTGAGGGTTATGGCCCCCAAAACAAGATTTTGGGCCTTCAGTCCTCAGCAGTCTTCCTGCCAGGGTGAGTCTTGTTCCAGAGGCAGGATTGGGGGGGGCAGCAGTCTCCTTACTCTTTCCTGAGGCCCCATCTTCTCATGCTCACAGGGAAGGAATGTGGGCTTGTGGCCAGGAATCCAGATGTGTTCCCCCTCCCCCAGGTCCTACCACTCACTCCTCTGTAGCAGCAGCTTCCTCCTCAGTGGGGTTCCAGGGAATGTGCTCTGCCCTCAGCCTTGTGCCCCAGAAGTGGTCTGGGCAAGGACCTCTGACTGGGCTGGCATGGAAGGAGGCCAGGAGGTGAAGAGTGATGGGCAGCCCCGGGATCTTACTCTGCACCCTCCACCCCCTAACAAGGACAGGGCCCTGGAGCACATGTCTCTCATGCAGGGACCCTCTTCAACCCCCTGGCAGACCTAGCCAGAATCCTAAGGAGAGTGAGTAATGAGCATTTTAACACAATAGTGAGGCCTCAATGATTTCTTCTTGTTTTTCATACCTTCCAAGGATTTCGTAGTGTACTAATTTTATTTTCTCTATATAATGGAGATAGAACCCTGGAAACTGTAAAATTGCTATACTATTCCCCTTCAGATGTTAGAAGTTGAGAGAGTGGTTGAGCAGTGATGGAGGCCTTCCAGGGCCCGTGGGAGACTGACATTGTTTATCCATCACCTGCCTGAATTATCTTCTCAGAAGGGACTCTGCTAGGCTTAGGTCTTTACTACCTAGAGAATGGCCCAGGGTGCAATGCCTGAGCTTGCTGGGAAGACAGGCTCTCAGGTCCTACCCGAGACCCACATTTGGGGAGATCCCCAGGCATTATGTTTGCACCTGGGGTCTGGACTTTGCCCAACCTCTGTTCAAGAGAAGCCCACCCAGAGCACAGGGCAGTGGGAGCTGGCCCACTGATCGCTGTTCTCTAGATACAGTCCCTGAGGAGGACCTGCCTGTCTCTCTGCAGACACAGTGAACAAGGATACGTGCTTAGGGAGAGGAGAGGAGAAGAGAGGAGAGGAGAGGAGAGGAGAGGGTGAAGGCTCATCTTCAGAGACTGTCTGAATAGGAATAGGGCAGACAGGCAGCTGAGGGAGGATCAGCCACCTCTGGACTCTCCCCAACCAAGGTTCCTATCCTGGGCTGCTTGAAGTTTCATATGTATTTTAGGACCAACTTCTCAATTTCTACAAAGAAGCCAGAACTACATTCATCTATATATTAATATGGGGTTATTTCCATCTTAATATTAAGTCTTCTAGTCCATGAATATGAGACATCTTTCCATTGAGTTATATATTTTTTAATATCTTCAACAACATTTGATAATACCCAAATCTAAGTTTTAAACTTCTTTTGTTAAATTTATTATTCTTTTTTCTCTCTTTCTGATGCAATTGTAAGTAAAATAATTGTTTTTTTAAACTTTAGTTTTGGAATATTCGTTGCAAGTGTTTCTTTAGAAGCACAATTTATGTATTGGTTTTGTATTCTGAAGCTTTGCGGGTTTCCTTAAGATTTTCACATCATCTGCAAAGAAATCATTATAAGTCTTCATCTTTTCCAGTTTGGTTAAATGTTGTTTCCTTTGCTTTCTTAATTACATGGATAAGAAACTCCAGGACAACATTCAATACAAGTGATGAGAATGGGCATCCTTGTATCGTCCCTGGTTTGGGCAAAAGCACCAGTTTTCATCTTTAGTATGATGTTAGCTGTGGGGTTTTCATAGATGTCTTTTATTAGGTACGGGAAATTCCCTCCTAATCCAAGTCTGTAAAATGTTTTTATCATAAAAGGGGTTTGAATTTTTTCAGACACTTTCTCTACATCTATTTTTTTATGATACTCATATATTACATTAATTGATTTTTCAGATCTTAAACAAACCTCATACTCCTGGAATAAATCCCATATGACATCATTATTTTGACATTGAATTCCGCTTGCTAGTATCTTGTTGAGGAATTTTGTGTCTATACTCATAAGATATAGTGACCAATAGTTGCCATGTCTTTGGTTTTGTATCAAAGTAATAGTGGACTCAGAATGAATTGGGAAGTATTCTCTCCTATTTTGGAAGAATTTGTAAACTGTTGATATTAAATCTAATTTAAATGTTTGGTAGAATTGATATATGAAGCCATTTGGGCATGGGCTTTTCTTTGTAACTTTTTTATTATTAATTTAATCTTTTCTTATAGAGCTATTGATTTTCTGTATCTCTTGAGTCCATTTTCATAGTTTGCATCTTTCTAGAAATTTCTCCAGTTTGTTATCTAATCTTTTGGTGTAAAAATGGTGTGGTGGCATCAAATCTCTTTGATGTTAGGAGCAGGAGAAAATCAAGATGGTCAGATCATGGCTGATTCCTATGAAATGGAGATCAAACATACCCCATCTTTGGACTTTTTACCAATTCTGACAGCAGCTGCCACTCCCGTAGCACTTGTCCACTTCTCTGCAGGTTTTGATAATCTTTTGGAGTGATCACGTGTAATTCAAACACCATACTCACAGTTACGTGATTAATTAGGGAATTAATGGGTTATAATTCAGGATCAGCAGGAGTAAGAATACAGTACTTTGTCCTGGACAACTTCTTGGTTATACCTGCGGGCAGGTGTCTCTTACCATCCTTAGCCTCAGCCTTTGCTCTTTTTTGCAGTTCATGGGATAATCTTCTCTAACACCACAATTTAAAGGCATAAATTCTTCTGTGGTCTTTATTCACTCTCCAGCTGGCTTCTGCCCTACTCGGGCAAGTGTTACAAAGCTCCTTAGCTCCACCAGAGGCACCCCACTCCACCAGCAAGTCTTTTGCCAAAAGGCATTAAGCTTTCTCTCTCTCCTCTGGGTAAGCATGCCCATTGTAACCACCTCTGTCTGTGGACTGAGAACCCGACCACACCATCTCACATTAGTCTCCAGGTTCTGCCGATACCATTTCTCTGCTGCCACTTCTAGCCATCTCTCTCCTGAATCTAGGAGATCCTCAGCATGGGAATCTTGGGTCTAAAGGACATGTTGTACTCCTAACTTTTTTTTTCTTCATGAGAATGAGGTCCCCCAGCCAGCTCTGAAATTGGCTCTCTTTTTAAGCCTAACAAGATGACTATACTGATCAATATCTCTATTATCAGTTCCATATACCTTATTTGCATGGTTTCACTGGCAACACGGTAGGTGAAGGAAATATTGAATTTGTCATTTATTTTGTTTCGCTTAGATATACAGTCAATACACGTGGTAACAGTAGTCAAGAGATGAAAAGACATCTTACATTGGGAAAATCTGCTGCCAACCACCTCCCCAACAATGTCAACAATAACAGTTTGAAGATTAAGGTGAACCTAATCCAAGTTAGGGTGTTTTCAACTGTTTCCTATGCATCTGAAAATTAGACAGTGAATAAGGATGACAAAAAAAATTGAGCCTTTGAGTTGTAGTGTTAGAGAAGAGTACTGAATATCTCATGGACTTCCAAAAGAACAAACAAGTCTGTCTTGTAGGAAGTGCAACCAAGATGCTCCTTAGAGGTCAGGATGGTGAGATTTCATCTTTGAAAATGTTGTCAAGAGGGACTGTTCCTTGGGAAAAGAGACATCATGCTGGGAAAGACAGAGGATTAGAGAAAGGGAGGAAGACCCTTAATGAGATGGATTGGCACATTGACATGTATCAAAAGTGGTGAGGCTAGGGCAGAATAGGGGAGGGTTCAGACACATTGTTCATAGAGTTGCTAAGGCCATGGTCGACTCCACAGCTTTTTTAAAAAATTAATTTTAATGAAAGTTTACAGAGACTTAGGGTTTCCAGTCATTCACTGTTGCACTTTTCTCTCTGCTAACCCTCCTCCCCCAATTCATTTTTCTCCTTGATAAGTAAAAGACAAACTCTTTCATTGTTATGCAGTCCCTCCCCTCAAGTCTACTGCCCTGTGAAGCCCTCATTCTGGACTCCTGTCATGACAATAATAGCCAATCATATATCCCTTTTAAGTAGTTCTCTCCCTCATCTGTTGCAATGCAGTATACATCATTCCTCCTCTCCTCTGTCTTTCCTCAACCCCAATGTCAGTCCTGTTTTACAATAGTAGCCCTATGCAATATTTGTCCTTTTATGACTGAGATGTTTCACTCAGCATAATGTCCTCCAGGGTCATCCATTTTACATAATAGTTCATTAGTTTCTTGTTGTTCAGTGCTGCATGGTATTCCATTGTGTGAATATACCAGAGCTCCTCAATCCATTCATTTGTTGATGGGCACTTGGGTTGTTTCCAGCTCTTTGCTACTGTGAACAAAGCCACAATAAACATGGGTGTGCATATATCTGCTTGGGTGGCAGTTATCGTTTCTTAAGGATAAATTCCCAGAAGTAGAATTGCTCGGTCAAAAGGTATTTCTATTTGCAACTTTTTGAGAAAGCGCCATACTGCCTTCCATAGTGGTTGCGCCATTTTACACTCCCACCAACAGTTTCTCCACAACCTCGCCAGCATATTTTTGTTTACTGTGTTGTTAAGTTTTGCTCTTCTTACTGGGGTGAGATGATATCTCATAGTTGTTTTAATTTGCATCTCTCTTAGAGCTAGGGATCTTGAACATGTCTTCATGTTTGTTTGACTCCACAGCTTTTAACAACAACAACTAACAACTCCCACAGGGCTCCTTGCACATTATTTGCATTGTTATCAGGTTTCCTAATCTCCTTCGTGGGTTCTAAGTGCCTAGT